CATTTTCAACCATATAGTGACTCACTCCAAGATATGTTTTTTTTCCTTAAATGATTAAGCATAAAAGTTTAGACACAGTACACAAAAGAAGGCAAAGATTACAGGATACCCGAAAAGCTTTAGAACTATAGACAATCTCCACAGAAAGTAGGTAGTGGAGAGCAAAATACAGCCCACATGCAGATCTTAATATTCTACAAAAAAAAAAAAAAGGTAAAAATGTGAGGGCCATGCTAGGGGCATCACCTATTGTGGACACGATTTCAGGGTTTGACACCAAAGCTGTTTCCTCTTTTCCCCAAGTGTCTTAGATGGGTATCTGCCTTGTTGTAGGAATCATGTAAGCCAGAGGAGAACTATGGAAAATTATCTCTTTGCTTTCTCCCATGGAGAAATATATGGAGTGTTATGAAGGTTTCCCTCTAAATCTAAGAAAGCAGAGCACACACATTTCTAGAAAACACAGGTGAGGTGCAGCCAAAGAGTTATTTATACAAACATGAAATCACATCGTTCTCTCTGAAAGCAGCAATATTACTTTGCCTTTCTTGGGAATAATGAGGCTTGAGACAAAGACGTTTTCCTTGCTTATAGGAAGGCACTTCAGAGATGTGGCATCACAAGCTCCTCTATCATTGTGGCTTCTCCCACTGTATTCTGAACTAGGAATATGAGAGTATGTTCTTATGCATTGAGTTGATAAAGAGCCCAAAGAAGCAGGTAAAGTCATTGGATGAGAGATATGGAGTAAAGAACATATTTCTCTATAATATCTATAGAACTCTTATAGTTCCAAACCTAGTAGTAAGCTCAGACTAAGTCAAGAGGGCAATAAGAAATAGATTGTGGTTTCACAGAAGGTAAACTCCAGCAATTATAAAATGTTTATACTGAGAGATGTTTCCAGGTACTACACTGCCTCTGAACCTGATTCCAGAGGGCAACATGGAGAATAATAGGGGTTTGTAAGGCAGACTGGCTTTTAAGTGACTGTGGTATCAATTGAACCTACAGTTAATAGAGTACTCTACCATCCAATTCGTGGAAATGAGGAGTTCTCAGGGATTAAGAAAGGATGAGGGGAAGTCAGTTTGAGACATTTACACAAGAGAGATCTACTATAATCATGTCAAGTAAGCTTGTTCTTTGTGGACCCAAATGACAGTTCTCATTATTATTATTATTTTGATATTTTAGCTTATTTTGTTGTTTGCTGTCAATCACTCTGCCTACAATATAAACTCCTTGAAAGGCCAGTTCCGCTCTCTATTGTATCTTCCAAGCCCAAAATCTGGTTCATGATGAATGACCTGAGGGAAAAAAAAGAGGAAAGTAATAAAAGCAGACCTTTTCTCAAAATCAAATTTTCTTAAAGTGCACCCTTCATAGACTGGGATGGCTTCCCCATGTAGGGACACCTTCTTCAGAGCTCTGATGAGGATAAAGTGACTTGTCAGGCTGTACTATTTTATGGGGTGATAGATTGGAAGTGTTTGGCCAGTGTTACTCCCAGCTTTATAGTTCTTGGTCAAGACTTTATTAAGGGTCCATCATTGAAAGAAATCATATTGTAATGATAAAAATCAAATAGCCTCATGTTTCTGAGCTGAGAGATCTAGGGTCTTTGAAAGAACTGAGTTTCCTCTGGCTCAAAAAAGTAGTTGATGATCATGCTTCAAAGAAACCACAGTCTCCTTATTTATACAATTTTATAAAATTAAGTAGCAGCTGCATTTCCTAGTTGAGAAAACTGGTTTAAAGTTTTTTGTTTTTGTTTTTTAAAATCATGACCAAAAGCAGAGATCTAACTTGAAACTGTGTCTTCATGTGACTCTACTCCAGTGTTTGGCTTCAATAGGCTATGAGTCATCAGAGTCAGGTAGGTGTCTTAGTTACTGATCTCATATTTTCTCTTTTATGAAATAGCTAGCAAAAGCATCCTTTGCTCTTATCCAGAGCTTGAGGATACAGTTTAAACAGTAAGGCAGGTGTGATGGCAGCTTCTGGAGGTAGCTGCTTGCACTGCAGCCACAGGATATACAGAGTGATATGTGATGGTGCTTAGCTATCTTTTTCCTTTTATTCAGAACTGGACATTAGTCCATGGATTACAGTTTGAGTGAGTCTTCCTTACTCAATTAACCTGGTCTAGAAAATCTCTCACAGATATTCTCAGAGGAACTTGTCTCCTTGATGCTTCTAAATGATGCCAGTTAATGGGCACCCATTTGGTCTTTAGCAGCAAGAGGGTCATCACTTGATTTTGACTATTGTGGACAAACTTTTTCAGTTTCAGTCCAAATGCTTACCACCTACTACCAGAAAGTATTCTGGTATAACTCCCCCCCCCCCCCCCCGCCCCAGAGCATGGTCACATCTGCTAAATGTCCCTAGATGGTGTAACTGTTCCCTACTGGAAAACTATCAATGACTTGGCATTGAGCTCCCCTGTCCTGTTCCCACTGGAGATACTTCCTAAGAGAGTAGTTGATGCTGAGTACAATGGCTCATGCTCCAGGAAAATATGACCTCAATAGGGAGGCATGAATAAGCTCTTAGAGCCAAGAGGCAAGGAGAAGAGAGGGAATTTGGAAAGAGAAATCAAAACGGCTTTGGGAAGCAACAAAAAAGAATGTGGACACTGTCCAATTGTGGTTTCAGGAAGAGAGCATTTACCCAGAGAAGCATTACAGCACCTCTGTGATTTGGATGCATTCCAGTGGAGGAGGAAGACAGCATAGAACACAGAATACTGGGGGTGGGATTTGTGAGGGATGGTGATGAACTAAGTGCAGAAAAGAAATCTTTCTCAAGTTGCCAACAGCAGCACCTACTATATTATGGAAAGGCTTTTATTTACTGCATGAGAAAAGCACTGAGCAGATGCCTGGCAGCCTACAGAAGGTTAAGGCTGGGTTAATTTTTACTTATGCTTTGCATTAGAAAGCCAAGAGTATGGATTCCACTTTTTCCCCCACTCGAAGATCTCAACGCCATAATTCAGCTCAGCTAGGTAAGGGCATGTTCTGTCAAATTAAAAACCAAAGGTTTTCCTATGGGGGAAATCTCAGTGTTAGAGCTAAAAGAGGTGACAGCCACATTACTGCCATCAAAAATAATTTATTAATCATGTCTGTGCAAAGAACTCTGGTAGGCACCGTTCCCCAAGGACTTCCTGTTAGAACACATTCTCCGCACTCTGCCATCTCCTCAGAGTAGCTTTTGCTTTTTCTCTTCACCTGTGAATAAAATGGATACCTAGGAAACTTCATCTTGGTGAAATGCATCACAGGACAGGAGAATGCATCAGCATCCCCATACAGTACTGGGAGTTGCACTATGAGGAAGTTGCCTTTCTCAACATCCCATTCTTGCTTGGCGCTTGTAAAAGTAAATAAATAACATAAAAATAAAACCAAAATCGTCTCTTTCCTTTCCACTTTAGCCTAGGAATCCGAATAGTGTTGGGAAGCAGAGCTTTGCACCAGTATCTTGTACCATATTAGCACCGGCTCTTGCTCTTTCCCTGACCCACCCGGTCCTTAGGGAGGTACCATCGTGCACCTGAACTGGAAAGACTCATGTATCCTTGTACCCAAGGGAATAAACTAGCCAAGTGATTTGAGGAACCAGCCAGGATCTTTTCTTATTTTTTGCCTCTTGCACTGTGACGTGTGTAAGAGGGCATACCTACATTTACTAAAGACAATACTTTTTAAAAAGGTAAGTTAATGGCTTGGAGATCTGATTGCAGGAAGATCGTCTGCTTCAGCAGTATCTTTCAGGAACTCCGAAGAAGCAAAGGCAGCTCTCAGTCCAGCCTCACCGTGGCGGGGCAGTGGAGCTGAGAAGCGCCCTCCCACCTAACACGCCCCTGCGCCTTCTCCCAGCAGCTTCAGTCTCCGACCCCACAGGATACTCAAGGACCCTTACAAGGCTGATCGGGAGCTGCGGGTGCTGTACCTCTCCAATGGGGGTCCACTTGGATCATTTATTATCTAGCGCGTTGTAAGAAAGCACCATTAGGTGTTGGTGGGAGGCGCTACTCTGTCCGAATCCCACCCCGACCGCGGCAATTCCGCACACCCGCACCCGCCTGGCTGTGTGCGAGAAACCGCCTGAAGCATCCTTCAGCTGGGGAATCAGTGTCGCCTGGGACCCCCTGTCGCCGTTTTCCCTTTCTGCTTTCCAGGTTCAAACCGGCAGCTGCACCGGAGCTGTTTGGAAACCTTTCTGTGCTGGACAGGGTGCGCCCCCGAGTTCTCCGCTCCGGGGCGGCGGCGGCGTCGCTTGCCGGAGTTTGACTCAGGGGTGGTGGCGGCAGTGGCTGCGCAGAGCCGCGGGCGGCGGGAGCGAGGCGAGCCCGGCTGCTCGCCCTCTGCGCTGCGCTAGGATTGGTTTCTCCCGGAGAGCGCTGACCGAGGGTTGGCTGCGGGCCGGCTGAAGAACAGGTGCACCTCATCGCCCGGGCTCGCCGAGCAACCACTAAGCATCTCTGCACTCCGGGGTAGGCGAGCAGCTGCCAAACTGACCCCCTGTGTCGGAATGCCGCTTGCCGGCGCCTGGCATCCAGAAGCTGTCCGCCGGGGCCCCTGAGGGCGACGTGAGGCTCTGGGGTGGGGGCAGCGGCGGCGCGGCTAGGCGCCCCAGGGAGCGGGCCGGGCGCGGCGCCCCGAGGATGCCGGCGAGGCTGGAGTGTACCCAGGCGACAGGCAGCATCCACGGCGGCATCAGCATCAGCATCCGAGGCAGCATCAGCACCATCAGCAGTCGGGGGACCCCGGAGCGCAGGAGGCAGCAAGGCGGGCTGCAGACGCGCCCCGCCGCTCCCTGACCGGCCGGCGGCGCCGGGGCCGGTCTTGCCCCTCTTCTGCGCTCCTCGCCGCCCCCTCCCCGGCCCGCGTCCCCTCCCCCGTCCTCTCCTCCCCGCCCGCCGCCCGCCTCTCGGGGGGAGGGGCGTGGGGGCAGGGAGCCGATTTGCATGCGGCCGCCGCGGCCGCTGCCTGCGCCGGAGCCCGCCGCCGCCGGAGCCCGCGCCCGCGCCCGCGCCCGGCCCGCGCGGCCCCATGCCTCTGGCGCGGCCCTCGGGGGGGCGAAGGTGAAGACCGGCTCCTAGGATGAGTGAAGGGGCGGCCGCTGCCTCGCCACCTGGTGCCGCTTCGGCAGCCGCCGCCTCGGCCGAGGAGGGCACCGCGGCGGCTGCGGCGGCGGCAGCGGCGGGCGGGGGCCCGGACGGCGGCGGAGAAGGGGCGGCCGAGCCCCCCCGGGAGTTACGCTGTAGCGACTGCATCGTGTGGAACCGGCAGCAGACGTGGTTGTGCGTGGTGCCTCTGTTCATCGGCTTCATCGGCCTTGGGCTCAGCCTCATGCTGCTTAAATGGATCGTGGTGGGCTCCGTCAAGGAGTACGTGCCCACGGACCTGGTGGACTCCAAGGGAATGGGCCAGGACCCCTTCTTCCTCTCCAAGCCCAGCTCTTTCCCCAAGGCTATGGAAACCACCACTACCACCACTTCCACCATGTCCCCCGCCACCCCCTCTGCCGGCGGCGCCGCCTCCTCCAGGACGCCTAACCGGATTAGCACCCGCTTGACCACCATCACTCGGGCCCCCACTCGCTTCCCTGGGCACCGAGTGCCCATTCGGGCTAGCCCGCGCTCTACCACGGCACGGAACACTGCGGCCTCCCCGACGGTCCTGTCCACTACTTCCCCTTTCTTCAGTAGCAGCACGCCAGGCTCCAGACCCCCGATGCCAGGAGCCCCTAGTACGCAGGCGATGCCTTCCTGGCCCACTGCGGCGTATGCTACCTCCTCCTACCTCCACGATTCCACTCCCTCCTGGACTCTGTCACCCTTTCAGGATGCTGCGGCCGCCTCTTCCTCCTCACCCTCATCCACCTCTTCTACTACCACCACCCCAGAAACTAGCACCAGCCCCAAATTTCGTAAGTAGAAGAGTCCTTGTCTCAGCTGTGATTTACTGCCGAGTTTCTTTCTGCCTTCTGGCTCTCTTTTCTCCTGGTTGCCACTTCCCCAATACCCGGTATGGGGCAGAGTGTGAGGCTGTGGTTACAAATGGCCTCAAGGGGGCCAAAGGTGTTGGTCTCTGCTGTGTGTGTGAGAGGAGTGGGGGCATCAGGCAAATGGGGGAGATCTCCAGAGCCAGGCTGCTACTTCAGTGGGTCCCAGATGAGAATAGACTCCTGACTCCCTTCAAAGGGTTAAGGCTAAGGCGAGTGCAAATGCTTCTCACTGCAGGTTTGCAAGTGTGCCCAGGTTGAGTTCCCTATAGTGGCCGGGAGAGGAATTAGACTGCTCCGGTGCACCCAAGCCTTCCCGCCCTCCTGTGGGAAGCTTTCCTAAGCACAGCCAAAACTGGCCTATGATAGCCCACAAAGGGAAGTTATGACCAGTGTGGCTGTGCAGATCGGATGCAGGTATTTGGTAGTGATGTGTCCTCAGGCTGTAGCTCTTGACTCTTCCAGCATCCTTGCTGGGGCAGTGCCTTGGAAGGGTTAATTAGAGGCAATTGGGAGAGGTGGGGAATTGAGGCACTCCCAGATGGATCCCTCCCCTCAACCGGTCCCTGGCCTTTGCCAGGTGTGGAAATTGTGCCTGAGGCCACTGGAGTGAGTTAACTGCAAGGAAATGCAAAGGGGATGCTGCAGAGCTGCGGCCCCCAGGGTCCTGGAGGTTTTTTCTTCCTTGTGTTCAGCTGTGCCAAGCTTTTGCTTTTGTTCCTTTCCCAGAGGGGTGAGGGGTATAAACCTGATCTCTGCCTCCCACACAGTATATGGTGAGGAGATTAGGACCTGATTTAGTAGGATGTCCAAGCTCTTTGTAACATGTCACCCTTTGGGTATAGCATTTCAGCCTGGCTCCGTTGGTGCCACTGTCGGCCAGTGTACCCCCTAAACATGGTAGCTTTCTCTTTGGAACTGTAAGCTTTCTATTTTTAAGAACGTTGCAGGTAACTAATTGACCTCCACCCCACCCTCTCGGCTTAGTGAATAGCAATCCCAAGAACCCTCTGTTTGTGCCTGAGGATTCAGATCAGAAAATACTAGTGTAACCTGTGAAGGTTATTCAGGACAAGCCCCTATATGTTAGTTCAAGTTCCAAGCAAAACCATTCTGGAAAAAAGAAAAGAAAAGAAAATAAATGGTCTGGATAGGTTGCCCTTAGTATTCATGTTTTGAGCTGTAACATCTGGGTAAAGAAAAAAGTGTTCCTCACTGCTCTGTGCTGGTAGGAATATGATGGTTGCTTTCAGTTGTGTTAATTTTTGTTTCCTTGATCCATGATCTTACCTTGGGTGTTACTTAACATTTGTGACTTTTTTTTTTTTTGAATGTAGTGTACTTGTAAGTAATGGCCAGGGACAGAGACTTTTGCTTTTACACTGCTTTAGAAAAATGCATCTATCCCATGATGGTCAGTGGGAGCCAGGAAGGCAAAGAGAAGGAAGAATTCTGCCACAACCTAGAAAGGCAGTGGAGCTGGCCCCTTGCAGCTTCCCCCTGCTTTTCACAAAGCAGTGATTTCTGAAAGCACATTTTTCCCAGGAGGAGGGGGGTGTTCAGGTTCCTTTCAACAAATGTAGCTTGAGTGTTGTGGCCGGATAAAGGACTGGTGGTGCTTGTGAGCACATTCATGGGACTGAAATAGGTTCCTGTCTCTGTTGAAGACCTTATAATTTTCATCTGTTCTGAAGCAGTTGATATGAATAATGGATTGTGGCTCTACTTCTCACCCCCAGGGCTGTGGGGAACACAGTGGGGGCATTTCCCTGTCCTTTCTGTATTGATTTCTTACCTTCCATTCTGAGGCAGCCTTTAAAGAAGAACCCAAGGTAATTATTCCTGCCCCTCCATGATCTTGTTCTACATTCAGTAGAAGGGAATGGATGGCAGCCTGTTTAATAAGTCATGATTATTGACACAACTCTATGCCTCAAGGAAAAAAGGTGGGCACTCTATAAAGGGTCTTGGTGCTTGCATAGACATATAAGCAGTATTTGTTTCATTTCTAACTAGGGTCCAGCTCTTTCTCTGCTTGAAATCTTTATAAAGAGGGTTGAGTAAAGAAATAAAAATGCGAGTATCCAGATCTAGCAGTTAATGGCCTGGTTTAGCTGCACTAAGAAGCGGCATTTCAATGAAAGGAATGTGTATTTTCCATAATAGGTGAGTTTAAATAGGTAGGCTGTATGATAATTCAAATGACAAACAATTTATTTTTTCATGTAAGATTTTTGGCTGATTAACAAGTTGGAAGATATTTCACTTGTGGGGTTATCAGCACTGGTATAGTAGGTTGAATTATGGCCCAAGTAGCTCTCATTCAAATTGTTCACTTCTTTTCATTATGGCATTAAAGTTCCCAAATGATAGATTGGTTTGTGCACATCACCTAAGAATGTACTTCAGTAGGTTTGTTTTCCCCCTTGCTTCCCACCCCAACTTTTCAGAATGATCATCCTGGCTTCTTGTGCACCAGCTGGAGGCAGTTAAGGATGATGCCCTCTTTGTTGAGACTAACACACATATTGTTTAATGGACAGGGTCTTGGCTTTTTGAATAGAACATTTCAAGGCTTAGGGGATGAATACATTTGTGATCATCTTTGGCAATGGCTGCTATCTGTAAAATCATCATAGCTCTTTGAGTAGAAGTTTGTTTACTGAGAAAGATGAGTGTTCACTGGCCAATGGATAACAGGACTTTACAAAAAAAGAAGAAAAAAAAAAGGTCTTTACTTGTTGTGTGAAAGGCTCATTTTGTTTGTTTATTTTTGATGAGAGATTGAGGGAAAAATAAGACTTAATATCAAGCAAACAAAGAAAGTGTGGCATTTTACTTTTAGCTTCCTGTCTCCATACTTTGAACAAGGAGGGTGTACCAAACTTCTTTGGAACTTCTAGCAGCCTATTCAGTGACCCAGAGCTGTCCTTTCCTTCAGACTCTTGAAAACAAATACCTTAAACATACTGCTACTCTAGGATCAGTTCAGTATGATTGAAAACATTTTCTGGCCATGGTATAGATTAAGGTTTTTGTTGTTGCTATTTTTTTCTTTTGTTTTGTTTTTGTTATTTATTTATTTATTTATTTATTTATTTATTTATTTATTTTGAGCCTAAGGAGACTATGCACTACAGATAGAGAGCAGTGATTTTGTAAAGTGTACAAACACTTTCCCTTTGATTAAAATGCATTGTTTCTTCCAATTTCAAACTTTACTGTACAGTATTGACAATGCAAACAGGAGTTGCTGTGGATTCTTGAAATTCTTTTACTTAGCTGAAAGCACTGTTACAGGTGGGAAAAAAGAAGCGGGAGCCACTAGTGAAGTTCAAATCAAGTGCAGCTCTTAATGGTTTGTTCTTGTAGTCACTTTGAATGGATATATAGTGAATTCTCATGAATAAGATCACAAGTATTGAATAGTATTCTTAGAGAAGGAATTTGAAGATAAAATGTCCTATTGGTATTTAAACATGACAGGGAGGTTGTTTTAATTTACTTATCTAGCTAAATAAAGTTTGATCAAATCATATTAATTGTGACTTTTAAAGAGAGCCCTTTCTGTTCGTTTTTCTTCTCAGCATCTTCACTCTTGCATCAAGAGTGCTCAGTGGCTCTATGAGCAGCCTCAGTTATAACTGCTTTAAAAAGTTAAGCCTCTATCTTATGTTCTGGTTACACGAGTCAAGGCCTTCAGAGGAATCCTTACGGAGAAGGTACTGACCTCATAAATGTACAGTGACCAAAATGGGAGCTCAAGATCAAAGTTTCTTATGACATGCAATTGAATTTATTTTTCATATGAGCTTCTGTTGCATTTTTGATATGTTTTTTTTCTTTGTCATTATTTCAGGATTATGAGACTTTTTGCCTTTAGCTTATTATACTGTGAGTTTTGAGACAAGAATGCATTTTGTGGTCTTAACCAGAAATAAAATAACATCCCTAATATTGTGGGGATAGGCATAGCTTTTCCAGACTGCTTTGTGGGCTCTTTTGAATTTAATTTTACTTCATTTAAAGTAGGTATTTGAAGCATCCCTCCGTGGTCTTAGAGAACTGTGGTAAGGGGTTGGAGGTGATTTTGCTAGTGGAGAATGTCTTGAAGGCTTGATTTGGGAGTATAGTCACCAATTTTTTTTTTGTGTGTGTGCTGTTTCTTAAATGTATTTCTAAAACCATATACTATTTACTTGTAAACTTGGAAGGAAGGAAATAAACCAAAAATCAAAATAAACAGCAAGCAAGCTGGCTTGTGGAACTCTGTAATACTGGCAGTGAACCATATCAGAAGTCCCAGGACAGATTTTAAATAAGTGCTGTCCCCAGAGAGACAATACATGTGTGAGAAAGTTGCCCTTGCCTCTGGGTTTTTCAAACCTATTTCTGGTTACAGCACAATGAAACAAAAGAAGGCTTTTGACCTATTCCTCTTTTAGAAATTCTTTCCTCAAATCCTCATATCTAGATCCAAAGCATATCTCTGTATTCTATCAAGAATACTGAAATGAAAGATGAAAATTGGTCCAGAAATATATAAAGGCAAAGGGTGAGACATAAATGCAGGTCTTTAAAACGCATTTGAATCACTTCTGTATAGAACTGAAATTCATTTCTATTTGGCTGTGTCTTCAGAGTTTCGTGTTGGGAAAAATAGAAATGTGTTACCTTGAAAAATAGTATTGGCAAAGTTTGAGCCCCTAGACATTCTGCTCATCCATATGTGGGGACATTTTATGTAGAACTGTGAACCCAAGGAAAAATGAAGGGGAAAGGATCCAGTATGCATTGGGTTCAAATTATGGTTTATAACAGGTCTGCATAGGTTTTCCCAAATCATCGGTCAGTGAAAATGATTGCATGTGTATAGTTTGGCTTTCCATTTCTTTATTCTTCCAGATTTCAGTCAGTCCCACACT